CTAACAATAGCACAAAAGCGCCCGGGATCGGCGGCACTGGCCGGAGGCCACTACAATCTATGATGTATAGATAAGCATATATATATATATATACATACATACATATACATATACATATACATATACATATACATATACATATACATATACATATACATATACATATACATATACACAGACATATACATATACATATACACATATATATAAATGTACACATACATATACATATGCGCAAACATATGAATATGCATATACACATGTATATACATATACATATACACATACACATACACATACACATACACATACACGTACACATACACATACACATACATATACAAAAACATATACATATGCATATACCTAAACATATACATATACATACACATACACAGATACATATATACATATATATATATACATATACCTATACATATACATATGTATATATATACATATACATATATATACACACATATACCTATAAATGTACGTATACATATGCATTTACATATGCATATACATGTACATATACGGATGCATATGCATATACATATACATATACATAATATATATACACACATATACATATACATTTGCATGCACACATATATATATACACATACATATACACATACATATACACGTACATATACAGATACATAAATATATGCACATACACCAATGCATGCACATGTGCACATACATACACATATACATATGCATATACACATACATAAACATACACACATACATATACATATACATATACCTATACCTATACCTATACATATACATATACATATATATATATATATACATATATGTATATATACAAATACATATACATAAACAAAACTGCAGTGACGCCTAGCGCCATGCACCTTGGTCCTTGAGGTTTGGTGTGCAGGCGGAATGGCAGGAAGGTCAAGCCGACAATTTAGCGATAACTCCTTACTGCCTGTTCCAGCATCGCTGCTAAAATTATGTTATTCGTTATCCTTCCTCCATGCTTCTTCTTATTATTAAAAATATTCTTATTATTCCTCGTTCTCGCCATACCCTGCGCATTTTCCCCATCCGCCTCAGCCCTTTTTGCAGAGGCTCCTCCTTGGAGAGCCTCTGGGGACCTCACAAAAGTTCCAGGCTTTCTTAAAGCCTTCTGGAGGTCTCCTGGGCGTGTTCTGGAGGTCCTGGGGGCTTCCTCGGGCCACCCTGCCTCCAAACGCGGTAACCCTGAACGACCGGGTTACGATTTGGAATGTTTCGGAGGGTATCTTGGGGCCGTCTTGGGCCGCCATGGGGCTCTCTTAGGGCCATCTTTGACCCCTGTTGTGCCGTTTTGGGGCTCTCTTGGACTGCCTGGAAGCCCTTTCGGATGGTTGTGGGGCGATTTTGGAGCCTCCCAGGCGGCTTCGGACGCCCAGAAGACTGCCGTATTGGAGCGTCGGGAATCCGAAAAAAGGAGAACCCAAAAATTCACACAAAAACAACAGAAAATCAATGATGTTTGCCTCTTGGGGCCTTCTTGGGAGTGCTCTTGGAAGCTTTTTGAGGCCTTTGGGGCCGTCCTGGAGGCCTCTTGGGCCATCTTGAGGTCACGTCGGTCACTCTTGGAGCGCTCTTGTGCTGTCTTGGGGGTCTCTGGGACTTCTCCGATGAACCCCCTGATCGCCCTAGGTGTGCTGGGAAGGCTTGGTAAAACGCCATGCGAGGCCCGGGGGGCCGCTTCGAGGCCCGTCCGGAGGGTCCCAAAGCCCCAGATCCCGGGAGCCCGGTTTTGGGAGGGCGGTCCCCCCGCCTGGGCTTATAAAAATAGACGAAGAGGAATAAATATGTATATATATATATATATATATATATATATCAGAAGGAAGGGTCCGCACGGTCAGTCGCTGTCCCTGGGCGCGTGGCTGAAGAGGGGTTCCGTGGTGCAGATTGTTGTTGCGTTGTTGTTGTCGTTGTCGTTGTCGTTGTCGTTGTTGTTGTTGTTGTTGTTGTTGTTGCTAATGCTGTTGGTGTTGTTGGTGATGTTGCTGTTGCTGATGTTGTTTGTAGTTGTTGTAATTGTTTGTGCGTTGTTGTTGGGTTGTTGATGCGTTGTTGTTGTGGTCGCCCTCGCCCGCGACCCGCCCACGACCTTCCCCGTGAACCCCCACCCCGTCACCCCACCCGCGGCGCAATCCGCGACCCACCCACATTGTTTTGACGAAAATGCGGCGCCTGCGACGGGCTCGCTGTGCAATGTTTTAAAAAGGTCGGCGCCTGCGGCGGGCTTTTCCAATGCTCGAAGACTGCCAACGACTCTGCCCTTACTCTTATCCGCAACTGCGGGGTGCTAGGTATTTCTTGTGCCGACATAAATACACATGCATATACATGTGTAGATATACACACACATATCTATGATATACGTGTATATGTGCCCGATTCACGAGACCCTGTGCCAAAAACGTGTTCATCTCTAGGGGGCGTGTTTTTTACTTCCGCCGCCTTCCGCGCCCACCACACCCAAGTTGGCACACCCCTCACACGCGTCGTGGCCCCAAAAGGATCTCCACCGACGGCCCAGAGGATGCGTTCGGCCACCGCATCCATGTTGGCACACCCTCACACGCTTCGTGCCCCCATAGGGAGCCCCACCGACGGTTCCACTGGCTGCATTCGCACGCGCCCACCGCACCCACTTTGGCACACCATTCACACGCTTCGAGGCCCATTTTGCGCCCACAGCACCCATTTTGGCAAACCCCTCACAAGTTCCATGGCCCCACAGGGAGCTCCACCGACGGCCCCAGCGGCCGCGCTCGCATGCGCCAGCCGCATACAGTATGGCGCACCCTCACACCTTTCGTGGCCCTATTGGGAGCTTCTCCGACTGCGGTGCATACAACGACGGTGCTCACAATTGCATCTGGTTGGGCCCTCCGCCAAGCGAATTTCAATGAAGGTGCTCCCCTGGGGCTCGCACCCAGATTCTTATAACGGAGCTTGGTGTCACCAAACTGCGCTCTTGGGCCCCGAACCTACTACAGTAATAACAGCAGCAATAATTCAAGACTGGTCGCTCTTATGTGCTCGCGTGCCGTTCAACACGTGTATCCAGAACCCTCGGTACTGGCCTTCGTCTTCGATCGTAACCCCCTCTGAGTTGGCGCAGCCACTCTAACAGGGGAAGGAGGGAGGAATGAAGAGACAAGATGGAGGGAGAGGGATGGAGCACGAGAGAAAGTTGCAGGAGGAGGGTTAGGATCAGCAGCACAACGGGCAGAACCAGCCTGGCGTGTCGGGCGGGCGGACCCTAACGGGCAGGTCGGGCGGGCGGGTCCAGACGGCCAGGTCGAGCGGGCGGGTCGCTAAGGCGTCAACCCATCATGAAGAAAGTTCCGAACGATAGCGCGATTCCCAAGTAAATCGCTTGGAAATCCGAATCGAATCGAGAGCGTGATTTGTGAGTCTTGGGGGCACGGCACCGCAATACATTATGAGGAGCTACCCCGCGCGAGAGCGCGAACTTGAAATACACTGTGAGGAAATATCCAAAGTGACCCATTGTTGTTGTTGTTCCCCACATCGTGAGTGGCGTTCTTTTCCCAGAGCATCCTCTCCTTCTCCCTCCCGCCTCCCGCCTCCCGCCTCCGATACCATGCCCCCCATTCCATGTCACACCATACCGACCACATACCATACCATACCACACCACAGTATAACAATACCATACATACCATAAAATGCCATACCATACCGACTATGAAAGAGCATACCTACCATACCATATAATACCGTACCATACCACACATACCATACAATACCATACCAAACCTACCGTACAATACCATACCATACCTACCACATACCATACCATACCATAACACACCACATTATGACAATATCATGCATACCATACAATACCATACCATGCTTACCACGCAATAGCACACCTACAATACCATACAATACCATACCACGCATACCATACACTACCATATCACACCTACCGTACAATACCATACCAAACAATACCATACAATACCATACGATACCTACAATATCATACAATACCGTACACTACCATACCACACATACCACACATACCATACAATCCAATACCAAACCAGCCCCTCCCACCCCTCCAGGGAGGCCCCACCAGAGCGGGCAGGGCATTCGCACACCATGTTATGTATCGGGTTTCGTGCCCCTCCCACCCCTCCAGGGAGGCCCCACCAGAGCGAGCAGGGCATCCGCACACCATGTTATTTATCAGGTTTCGTGCCGCTCCCACCCCTCCAGGGAGGCCCCACCAGAGCGGGCAGGGCATTCGCACACCATGTTATGTATCGGGTTTCGTGCCCCTCCCAGCCCTCCAGGGAGGCCCCACCAGAGCGAGCAGGGCATCCGCACACCATGTTATTTATCAGGTTTCGTGCCCCTCCCACCCCTCCAGGGAGGCCCCACCAGAGCGGGCAGGGCATTCGCACACCATGTTATGTATCGGGTTTCGTGCCCCTCCCACCCCTCCAGGGAGGCCCCACCAGAGCGAGCAGGCCATCCGCACACCATCCAGATCATTTATCAGGTTTCGTAACATCCCTGTGTGGGGAACTCCGTTAGCATGATTGCTGCAAACCGGGGACCAGGGGTGCAGTTTGGTGACCACACACTCTCCCTGATAAGAAAAGGTGCGAGCCCGGGGAGGGTGCCTCCCGCGCTGCCTTCCCACTACCTCCACCCCACCACCTCCACCCCTGCTTCCCCTCTGCCTCTCCATCCCTGTCTCTGCCCACCACTACCTGTCCCCACTCCCCCCTCCCCCCCCGGCAGGCTAGTATGCCTCCAATAAGGAATCGGAACCCAGATCGGAATCCCAAGTCGAATCGAGTCAGAATCGGAATCCATCCAAATCGAATCGAATCGAATCGGAGGAATCGAAGCGAGCACTGCCCCTCCCTCCTCCATCCCTGCCCCCCTCCCCCGACGCCCCCATTCGCGGAGGCCACGTCGCCGATGATCTCGTCAACCTCCGACATCGGGGATGCCTGCCGCTGCGGGGACTCCCGCGACGGGGAACTCCGCCTCGACATCTGGCGGCGCCTCCCCTAGGCCGCCAGGCGGCCTTGCGGAGGCGAGGAGTGTGCAACCCATCCAGTAGGCCATCCATGAAAGCGAGGAAGACGATGAAAACGACAAGGACGACGTAAGAGGACGAGGACGAAGACAGCGAGTACGAGGACGAGGACAACAAGGACAACGACGACGACGACGACGACGACGACGACGACGAGGACGCCGACGAAGACGACGACGACGACTAACGACGACGACGACGACGACGAGGAGGAGGAGGAGGAGGAGGAGGAGGAGAAGGGCGAGGAGGACCAGCGTGAACCCAAGACGTGCCAAGCATGTTATTATGTATGAACCCTCCACGTAGCCTCTGAACCAAACCCTACATATATTTATGTTCACGCCTGCAAGTGTCCGATTGGAAGACAATCGTCCGAGACTCCTCAATCGCGCCCACACACCGCCCCTTGGACGTCATCGCCGCAAATCAACTTTACTGTTGCGTTATGACGGCTCTTGATCGTGCCAGAACAAGAGGGGGAGAGAGAGAGAGAGCAGACATGCGTGGAGTGCCTGCGAAAACGTGCAGAGATCCACTGGTTGTGGTGTTTCTCTGGTATACTTGCAAAAGGCCGGTCGCATGTTGCGAAGAGGTTGGTCACGCGTTGCGAAGACGCCAGTCGGATTGGGGAATCATGGACGCATGTTGCGAAACAACAATCATGTGTTGCGAGAAGGCTAGTATGTTTGGGAACGGCCTGCTTGGCGTTGCGAAGAGGTCGGGCAGTGGTCTGGGCAAAGCTGTTCAGCGGGGCGTACACTCGAGGCGGTCGACCCAGAAGCCCCCATGTTGCGACAAAGCCGCTTAGTTTCGGACAGACCTGGCCTCGGAGGGCCCTCTCCATCTTTCCCCTCCTCCTCCTCCTCCTCCTCCTCCTCCTCCTCCTCCTCCTCCTCCTCCTCCTCCTCGATCTCCCCCTTATTCACCCTCCTCCCCCTCCTCCTCCTCCTCACCGTCCTCCCCCTCCCCCTTCCCCGCCTGCCCCTCCTCCCCCTGACGCTAGCCGGCCGCTCGCTGGCCGCCGCTGGCCGCCGCCAGCCGCCGGCGGCCGCCGCGTCCGCGCCTGCTCGCAGCGCGTTGCCCCTTTGGGCCGACGCGAGCGGCGGGGCCGGGGCGCGGCCGCCGGGCAGGGTGGCTGCGGGCTGGCGACGAGGGGTCCCGCGTGGAAGGGGGGGCAGGCCGTGCGGCTGCGGCAGGCAGAATCTGAGCATGTTCTCAGGGTGGAGGGCTCAGGGTGAAATCCACATGGGCGCTTGCACCTCGAAAGTCAATCCGCCTTGCGATTCACCTTGATTCACCTTTTGCAGGTTCAAGCCTCGAAAATGCATCGAAACGGCATTTCAAATTTCACCCTTTGCCCTCCACCCAATGAAAATGCTCGGAGAACGGGGTGGATGGTGGAGTGGGAGCGGGAGGGATACGGGAGACCAGGAGGCGATACCGGCGTCCAACCTCGTATCCCTCCTCCCTCATCTCTCCTCCTCCTTCTCCGCCTCGTCCTCCTCGTCCTCGCTCCTCCTCCCCCACCCTCTGGGGCCTCCTTGGGCCTGGCAAGAACCGCAGGCCTCGTCTCGAGTGCGCAAATAATGCGGGGCCTGGGGTCTTCAGAACTCCTGGTCGCCTGGGGCTTTGGTTCCCGAGGCCCTGGGAATTTCAAAGATAATGTTCGGCCGCTCCACAAAGTGTTTCCACTTGAAAAGCAGATGTTGTGAAACTTGTGGTGTCTGGGGGGTTCGGGATGCCTGGTCGCCTGTTTTGGACTCCCGAGGCTCCAGGAACTGCAGAACTCCAAAATGTCTGACATGTTCGCTGGCTCCGAACATGTGACTGACTTTGAGTTTGTTGGAAGTTAATGTTAGCCAGCGTAGACCCCAACCAATGTGTTTCTAGCGATACATGTTGTGCATGAGTATATATATACATATATATACTCGAACCATCGCGCGCTTCGCGCGCGCTCAAGTTCTAGCTAGGCTTGATGGGCAAACACATGGAATATCATCCTTGTCGTTCCTTGCATCCAGGGACTCTCTTGGAGGCCCTGCGCAAGCCTCGGAATCGTATAGAAGGGGAACTGCGGAAACGCAAAAAACATTAATTGCCGTCAGGTGTTCAACGATTTGGGGCCCTCGAAGGTTTCCTGGGTTCTTTTCTGGGGCCTTGAGTGTGGTCTGCTGTGCAAGAATAGAACGAAGGCGAACTTGGAAAAAACGGAACGGTGGGATTTCTCTTTTTTGTCAAGTTGTAGTGCCTGGGCTGTGGGTAGACGTTTTCTGCATGCAGGCCACGGCATGTTGGGATGCAAGTCGGGGCTGTCGTGCAAAAATAAGCAGGGGTGAGTTTGAAAAAAAGGAGTTCAAAAATTCCACTGCTTCAACTCATGGGATCAGGGGATCTCGATTTCTACCATGGTTTCAGGGGCAGTTAAGAGGACACGAAGACGACCCAAGAGAGTGCCAAGACAGCGTTCAACAGCATTCCCGAAACACTGTTGCATGTGATCCCGAAATCTAAACGGAGCCCGAGGAAGAGGATAGCGAGTAGGAGTCCCAACTTGAAAATAGGGAACCTCTGGAATTCTTTTTTGGTTTCAAAGTCCTCGGTCTTGGAGCGTTGGAAGCGCGAAAACGTGAGAGGGCGGAAAACGTCAACAAAAACCACTGGAAATCAAAGATGTTACCCTCTTCGGGCTTTCGGGACGGCTCTCGAAGCTCTCTTGGGCTGTTTGGGGGGTTTCGTCGGGGATTTTTGGGGGGCCGGTCAGGGGTCTGTTTGGAGTTCCGAAACGGTGCGGTGACAGACCGTGCAGTGACCTCGGAACCCCAAGAGACCTCACCGCACGGTCCGTCACCGCACGGTCTTGGGACCCAGGAGGCCCCTGTCGCCCGAGACGTCCTCGGAGAACGACCCGAGTCCCAAAACCATGCAATGAGCCCGAATCCCCACCGACTCACCGCACGGTGTGGTCACCACACCGTTTGGGGGCCCCCAAGTCTGGGGTGTGTTGGAAGCCTCTGGGGGGTCCCGGAGTCCTCTCAGAGGTCTCTGAAGGACTCCTGCTCCAGCTCTTGAGCTCATCTTGGACCTGTTCTGGGGTGGTCTGGAGTTGTCCTGGGCGGCTCTTCGGCAGTCTTGGGGCCGTCTTGGCCCGTCTTGGGGCTGTTTGGGGGGCCTCTTGCGCGGTCTCGGGGCGGTCTGAAGGGCCTCTTCGGCCGTCTTGACGCGTTGGAAACATGAAATGCTGAGAAGACCAACAACCCGGAGGACAAAAAAAATACAATTAACGATTTTAGGTTCTCAAGGCCTTCTCGGGAGGCCTCTCGGAGCTCTCTTGAAGTCTTTTGGAGGCCGAAGCGCTGTACTGGGCTGGGGGGGCGCATGCGGGCACCCCTACTGAGGCCGTTGATGGAGCTACCCATGGCGCCACGAAGCGCTGTACTGGGTTGGGGGGGGCGCATGCGGGCATCCCCACTGGGGCCTCCGGTGGAGCTCCGCTTGGGGCCACGGCAAGCTGTGCGGGGGGGGGGGGCTCATGCTGGCACCCCACTGGCGCCTTCGGTGGAGCTCTCATGGGGCCACGAAACGTGCAACCGGCGTGCCAAAGTGAGGGGGGTGACGGGAAGACGGGGGAGGGATGGGAGGAGGGAGCAGCGGGAGGAGGAGGAGGAGGAGTATGGGCACCCTGAGAAAAGGATGAGGGCAGGCGGACACGAGCACGAACGAGAAGAGGGCAAATGAGTTAGGCTCTCCAGTGCGCGCTCCTCTACCTAAGTGGTAAAGCGTGTGCTGCACGGCGCGATGCGACTAGGCCTGCTTGTGAAGCAGCGGCAATGCTGGCGCTGGCAGAAGACTTCATTTTGTTGCAAACGTGAAATGCCAAGACGATCCACGAGACCATCGCTGGCGGAGAAATTGGACCGGCGGCGACAGCTGAATGAACCGAGGCAGGGCCAATCAGATCCGGTTGGATGGGGGGGACAGAAAGCAAGAGGAGCCTCGAACGGGCGGAGCAGGAGAGATAGCACGCGGGAAAATCAGGCGCGCAGGCCCAAACAAGCGCGCACTTGTGCTGCTGAATAATGTGCATCTTAGCGGTGGTCATCCATCCACCGCTGAGGGTCTGAACTACGCTGCAAGTTGATGAGCGGTAATTCTGTACGCGCGCAGTCCGAGATGGCCATGGGGACGGCGACCATGTGCCAGCCAGCCAGCGAAGCATGGCCTGAAATGTTGTTTCTACCCACGATGGGTCAGCGAGGCGCTCGGCGGAAGGTTCTCCCGCAACTGAGGACGACCTCGCTGCAGAGTGCGCAGCAGATGCAACAGCTAGGGCCTGTGCAAGTTGGGCGGCTGGCGGCAGGCACCAGCCCGCCATGGCGAACAGGTCTACTTTGCAAAAATATTTCGGCGGCAAGCTCAGCAACTTGTGGAAGATGCGCTGCACATAGCGTGCAATGGCGGTATCAAGGGGGGAGAACTGCGAAACGTAGCTCAACATGGGCAGCACTGATGCACTGTAAAGGCGGGCAGCGGCGGCGCTGCCACTCTGCGCGCGCTGACGTAGACTACCCCGCTTTCACCACATTTGCCAAGGGACGAGCCTTTGACAGGCCAATGAGGCCTCGGGTCCGAGAAAAGAGCCCAAGAACATGGCTCGCCCCACAACCGAATAGCCACCCCAGGGAGGACCGAGGCGGCCAGGAGAGCTTTCGATGGGGGCAATGGTAGCTGGGGGCGCGTCGGGGCACATTGGCACACTAAAGCATTTACGCGGCGTCACGGAGAGGAGCGCAAGCCCCTCCGTAGCGGCAAATAGGGCGGTCACTTGGCTCAGTGGGTCGATCGGGTACGTCAGCAGACCGATGTCATCAGCGCACGCGCCCAGGAAGCCAACGTCCAGGTTCTGCGCGCCGCCCGGGAATTTCAAAAACGCATCGGGGAGGTGGATGATCGGGCCCATGGCTACCGCCCAGGCCAGAACTGATGCAAGGCAACGCTGCGCCACTCCAGAGCCGAACGCGATCGCGTCGCTGCGCCCGCCGTTGAACTTGATGTAGCTGGATGGCGCGAAGTGCATAGCATGGAAGAGGGCCAGCGCGCGCAGGAGGGCGGGGCTAGCGAAGACATGCTTGGAGGCGGTAGTGACGGGCAGCCATCCAGCGCGGCGCTTCACGGCGTCGCCGCGATCGATGCGCCCGTGGATTCTGCATCCCTTGGGGAGGCCCTGCTGGGCAGCATGCGCGCGAGTTGTCGCAGCGCTCTCAACCACAAGCTTCGCAGCACCTGCGGTGGCTTCGATGTCCATGTTCTTCAGCGAGAGCGGGGGGATGTCCTCGGGAGCACTGTCGGCGGCGAACTCGCCCTGCACGTGATCGCTCTTCGGCAGGGAGGCAAATTCGGAGCCGCTCAGGACGCGGACGTAGCAATGGCCCGAGCAGATGACGGAGGAGAGGTCTTCAAACCTGACAGGCGAGTCTTCGAGCGCGGGCCAGTCGCGGTGCGGGAGATGTTCTGGACCAGCAGCTGGCGGGGGCATACTGCCCAGGATGGTCTTGAACTGCGGACTGGCAGGCGACCCGATTACGATGGGGACGCCCTTCGGCACGTGCGCGTCGATGAAGTCGGCGCCCTTGGCAATGTCGGGGTGCTTCGCGTGGGAGATGGGTTGCCAGCGAGCGCGCAGCTCAACAGCCATGACGTCGAGGACAGAGTGCCCCTGGTCGGCTTGGTTGGCGAGGGCAAGGTGCACGCGGAACGAGAGAGTGCAATTGACGGTTGAGAGGGACTTCGCACACGGCGGTGGCAGCGCGAAGAGCGGGTTGAGGATCTCGGTGCCAGACGGCCCTGGGGACGAAGCGAGCAGAGAAGATGCCCCCAGCTCGGCAGCCCGACTTTTTGCCGTCACCGGCAAGCTTGCGACTCCAACCATAACGAACCAGTGGGACAACATCAGAGATGAGCTTCTCGCGCGCACGCCAGCGGGCATCCGCGTAGACTTGGCCGACCTTCGCGGCATCGAGCAGCTGCGGGGAGTAGACGGCGCAGTACGGATCGTGTGAGAACGACGGGAGGATGGCCTTCCCGATCAGCGGCAGGCGCGGCTGAATCCCAATGATGAAGGAGATGATCGCGCGGATGCTGGCG